CTCAGCGGGCGTCATGTGTGACATGCTGCAAGATACCGGCTCTCCGGGCCATGCCGGGTCGAACAGAGCGCCGCGCACAGAATGACGTGGGCGTCGACCGAAGCCGAGAGGCTGGAGCTGCCCAATACGGGTCGTGGATTGCCCAGTCGAGTTTCCGCACACAGAAGTCAGCAGCACCAGGTCCAGGTCACCAGACCGCGAATGATGGATGGCGGCGCGATTTGAGGCCGGCTGGTTCGCTGTGGCCCGTTAGGTGCGTACCAAGCAATGCCGCCCGCCTATTTTTGAGGCGCTGTGTGTCATGGACCGTGCCGTCATCCATCGCGCTTGAATTTGGTGCGACAACCTGGAAGCCTTTGCAAAACGATGAGTTGGGCTCTGTTGCAGTCGATTTTCATTTGATTGTGGTTGCACAGCTGCAGCAAGGGGCACAGGTTCGATGCTGCCCGGCCGTTCTCTCTCCCCTCCTCCCCTCCCCTCCCTTCCACCCAAATAGCAGGCGTAATTCCCAAAGCGTTACATCACCCTCGCGCTGCTTTTGCGCGACGCCATTTTCTCAAAAGGAGATATGAGCGGAGCTGAGGGGGGGGGGAGGGGGTTGGCACTGTGAACTTTGCCCCAATGAAATGCATTCTTATGTAAATTTACCGTGACCTGAGTAATACGAGCCCGTTCAGGCTAAGTCAACCTCAATTTGGCGTGGCACGTGAGCAAACACCGGCTGCTGGCGGCGCCGCGGTCGTCGGTTGTGCCGGCCCGCACTTGGCCGCGCGGGCTGGGCGGTCCCGTGCGTCATTTTGACCTGGACCACCCCCCGGGGCGAGAGCCCTCGCCACTGCACCACTGGCTACGACTTGCCGTTGTTGCGCACATCTGAGCTCCAGAGATGGGGACGCGGGACCTGATGCTTTCATGGCTCTAGTGACCTTCGGGGAACGTCACAAGGCGGCGAAAGACCCCAGAAGCGCCACCGAAGAGACTGGAAGGGTGGGGAAGGGGAGGGAGAAGCCTCACTGCAAGGTTCTAGCGAAGCCTCGCTGAAGGCTGAAGCTTTCCAGAAATGGCGACACCTGTGTGTTTTTCGTGACTGTGTCAAGACACCTCGTAACGAAAAATTAAGAGAGGTGAGGCCCGGTGCTGCTTAACTATCACGACTTCTAGAAGCCAGTATCATTGCAGCCGCTCATCGCAGGACATGTGAGGTACAAAAAGCACAATTCTTTAAAAGTTACATCGTAGAACATAGACGACATTAACGAGTAGGCCGTCTCATCAGACGTGATCATCCTGCTATATTAAGATCAGCGAGAAATTTAGCCTTCCCATGCTGTAACTAACTGGCCTTCAGTATGATTAAGGGTACTGAATGTCGTTTATTTGCAACATAGGAACCAATAATAGCAGTACGGAGCTGAAGGCCTTCCTTGCTCATAGAAGTGTACCATTCCCAATCGATTAACAAAGGAAACGTAAAACCTGCTAATTACCAGGAAAAGCGCACCGCACGTCGAGAGCGAGCCTTAATCTCGAAGGCCCGTCGTCACGCCGACACCGAACAGCGCTGTTGGAGGGCGCAGGCGCAGAGGAAGACCAACCGCATAGGTGGTAGTGTGGGCCGAAGCGCGCGGTCTGTCACGAGTGCCCGAACGCAACGCATGGAGTCGCCCGTCTGGGAGCATTTTCCACCAACACAGCTCGGCAACCAGTGACCTAAGGTCACTGATGAGAGGCCTTCACCCAACCGTCTCTCCCTCCCCAACCAATAAGGACCACACAATCAGCATAACTTGAATAATTCACAAACATTTAAGCATGTGCAATGACAGCGGATCCAATGAGCAATGGGGGAAAGTGTAAAGGCAGTAAAAGGCGCCTTGGCTCTTTCGATGTAACGCTACACAGTTGCGGGGCAAATGCTCAAGTTTCCCAGAACTGGGATCGATGGCTCCCTGCTCTCTACCGATTCCACCACCCCAGCCTCTGCAGCCTCTGCACGGCACTCCCAGCAGCAAAAAGCATGCCACCACCAAGAAAAAGGCTCCTAATACCTCGCCTGGGCGTAGCAGGCCACCGTCCACCGTCGGTGCTGGCCAGCCAGTAAGTGATTAGCCACCGATGCCCTGCCAAGATATCGTGGAACAAAGGGTGACAGGCCGTCGGCGGAGGCGCCAGCGCCGGCCGCCGCCCGCCCACGGCGGCCGGCCATCCGCTGCCGCCGCCCGCCCACGGCTGCCGGTCACCCGTTGCCGTCGCCGCCCACGGCTGCCGGTCACCCGTTGCCGTCGCCGCCCACGGCTGCCGGTCGTCCGCTGCCGTCGCCGCCCACGGCTGCCGGTCACCCGTTGCCGTCGCCGCCCACGGCTGCCGGTCACCCGCTGCCGCCGCCCGCCCACGGCTGCCGGTCACCCGCTGCCGCCGCCCGCCCACGGCTGCCGGTCACCCGTTGCCGTCGCCGCCCACGGCTGCCGGTCACCCGTTGCCGTCGCCGCCCACGGCTGCCAGTCACCCGTTGCCGTCGCCGCCCACGGCTGCCGGTCACCCGTTGCCGTCGCCGCCCACGGCTGCCGGTCACCCGCTGCCGTCGCCGCCCACGGCTGCCGGTCACCCGTTGCCGTCGCCGCCCACGGCTGCCGGTCACCCGTTGCCGTCGCCGCCCACGGCTGCCGGTCACCCGTTGCCGTCGCCGCCCACGGCTGCCGGTCACCCGTTGCCGTCGCCGCCCACGGCGACCGGTCGTCCGCTGCCGTCGCCGCCCACGGCGACCGGTCGTCCGCTGCCGCCGCCCGCCCACGGCTGCCGGTCGTCCGCTGCCGTCGCCCACCCGTCGTGGATCAGCCGCTCAGTGGAACCTCGTGCCGCTTTATGGCCCGATAGCGGCCATCATCGAGCGGCGGGCTCGAAGCCCTGCGGCAGATAGCGGCGCAGCCGGCAGCAAACAGGTGCCGGCCGGCTATCGCGCGCGGCCGAGGTGGCGGCGCAGGCAGGTACTGCGCCACCAGCAATGGCGCCTCTCTGGGACTTTTCATCTGCGTTGTAGGGATTGAGAGAGCCCAAAGGCATCTGAGCTTAAACATGAGCTCTAGGGGCGTAAAGTGGAAATAATTGACCTTAGATCCAATATTCCCCATCTCACGATTGCTCTGAACAGTTCCACCTCCAGGGAGGAGTACGCGGGGTCACTGGGGACGGGTCGAGTTCCAGGACGGGGCTTGGCTAGCCACGGGGTGGAGATCAAAGACGCACAGCGCGAGGCTTAAACAGGTCACTGGCGGAGCTTAGCCAGATTATTTGGAGAACTCCGGCAGGCTTAAGGGTCACAACACGGCACCTTTTTACTGCTCGGCTAGATGATAAATTAAAGCTTTTCCATGGAACGATCTCGGAGACAGGTCACCGACGTCTTTGACCTCACTTGGCGTTTAGTCTAGATGATAAATTAAAGCTTTTCCATGGAACGATCTCGGAGACAGGTCACCGACGTCTTTAACCTCACTTGGCGTCAAGCCAGGTCGGGCAAAAGCAACACCTAGCGAGACTCTTAATCCCAGACCCAATCGAGTAAACGATCAATGCGGTCAGGTAAAGAGCACGGCAGGCTGAAGGTTACGAGATCCTCCATCACTCCCGAAATCGGCGTTCACTGGGGCGACCTTGGTTCACTTCACTTCACTTCACTGGTTCACTGACGGCACTTTGACGGGACTTTCGTCAAATGGGGTACGCTCGTGCGCTTTCCGGTCCAAATGGGTTGTCGCTTCAAATCTGAGCAGAGCGCAGACGATGCGTCTGGCTCGGACCGTCCAAATATTCCATTCCTGACGCCACTCTGAGGTATTCTTTTTCAATCGAGATCCGGCCATCCCGCACACCCTCCGACCGCGAAAAGTTGGAGTGGCCGCGGGTGTGCCCGGACACCCAGCGCCGATGGCACCGGTGACCGGCGGCCGTGGCCGTGGCCCGTGGGGGTCGTCGGTGGGCCGCGGAGAGGCGTGAGTGAGGCCGCCCCCGGACAGCGGGGCGCCGCCTCTGCCACCCGTGAGGCCGTCCGCGGCCCGGGCTCGATCCAGACGCGCCGTGCGGCACCCCGCGCCCGGTCCGTCGCGTCTGAAGGTGACCTTCAAGGGAGGCGGGGGGCTGGAGTGGCCGCAGGGTTTCGGCACTCCCAGGCTCAGGCGGGAGCAAGTGAGACCCAAACTTATTTGTACGACATCCCGTCCCCAATAAGTGTGAGTTACTCAGCTCAAAAATACTGGAAGTTCTTCCCAAGCTAGGAAGAGTCATGTTTAGTAATTTTCTCAGAGCAACGCCCAAGGGTCAGCGCTGAATTTTTCAGAGAGTTAGGGGGACCAGCTCCCTACCCGCACCGCTCCCCTGCCCCCATGCCCGTCCATCGCGGGCCTGTGAGGCTCGGGTCACCCAGTCCCGCGCCCTTCTCAATCAAAATAAGCGCAATCAAGTTTTGCATCCCGTTCAACACTTCCAAAAGTGACACAAAATCGCAATATTTGTGTAGGAGAGGACGAAATCGGCAAAGAAAACAAACAAGTAGAAAACCGAGCATCACATCCCATTCAAGACGCTCAAAATTGATGACACATGGCCGCAATACTTGTGTAGGAAAGAACAAAATCGATTAAGAAAACAAACATGCTGCAGGAGGCGACGAAACTGATACAGAAAACAGCGGAACGTACCGAAATGCACATAAATACAACGATCAATGTTTCATAGTTTCGTAATTAAAGGCCAGAGTGGCGGACTCCGCGTTGATGGAAGATCAACCGACTAACATCGAAAGCACTTTCATCGAGCCAACTCGAGCTAACTATGCCTTTGGCTTAACCGAGGTCAAGTTGAGATGACAGATGCCAACGACCAAGCCCATCAATGAACCGTCACGAGCCAATGCACGAGCAGCAGCCGATGGCCGTGACCGCGCCCGCGGATGACAAACGACGACAGCCATCGGTCAGTGTCAGAGTTTCGGTTCTGGGCGCGCCTCATCCCGGTCCGTTACTCAGCACCTGGCTCTGCGCGCGGCTGTCGCTGCCGCAGGTGCGGGTCGGCACGTTCCGGCGGCGGCGCTTCGGGTAGTGCCCGCCGGCGTCACTGTTTGCGAACAGCGCGTCACTGGCCGGGACACACGGACGGCAACGCTGAGGCGATCCGCAGAGACCATCGCTGCCGGGTGAGAGACGGACTCCAGGCCCCAGTGACGACCAAATGCTGGATCTGTCAGCTCCCAGGTAAACGCAACACACAGCGTGCTATGACTAGAGAACGAAAGACAAGATATTCTGTCAGCGTCGGTAACGGCCACGATGTAAGAAATGCATGTCGTTTTCAAGTTCGTAAGCCTATTACGCATTAGTCATTCCCTACGTGAAGGCCACGCAAGGGTTTTCAATTATGTTCTAAAATGAAGATTGGAGTGCGGACTGTGCTGAAAGTCATTGTAGTTTTTGCTGTTGCCATCTTCGAACGTTTTGTCCACTTCTGTACAGAATACATCTGAAAAGGGGTCGGCGTGCCATTTTTGGCCGCGCCCTTCGCCGACATTACCAGCGTGCATGTGCAACTGCCGTTGCCCGATCATCAGGGCACATGTTCAGCCAACCATCTACTCTGAGGATCATAACGGTTCATAGCTACGTTAAGTCATCCATGATCAATGGCTAAATTAATAAGCACTATCATATTGCATAAGTTGTTCAGTGCATTAGCGAGGAGCATTACTCGCACAGATCAGACAGTACTACCAGCCCTATTCCTAGGAAAAAAACAGGAAAATGGAGACGTAGTTAAGTTTATATTTTTGGCAACATGCCTTTATCAAAACAATAGCAGAAGTGAATTCAAAATTGCCTGCCGATGATCCTACTCCATTTTTTAGTTGTTTTTTTTTTAACAGCAAGTCACAGTTTTTGCAGGACACCAACATTCAGGGGATTAAACAAAGAGCGGTTGCCAGCCAACTTCTGCCTTAGCCCTATCATATCATCAATGTCTGAATCTATAAACCCTAACATATTGTCCATTCGGACACCGGACAAGTGATGAGTCACCGGCAGACCCTCAGGTCTTGATACCCATGACAAGTGATGAGTCGCCGGCAGACCCTCAGGTCTTGATACCCATGACAAGTGATGAGTCGCCGGCAGACCCTCAGGTCTTGATACCCATGACAAGTGATGAGTCGCCGGCAGACCCTCAGGTCTTGATACCCATGACAAGTGATGAGTCGCCGGCAGACCCTCAGGTCTTGATACCCATGACAAGTGATGAGTCGCCGGCAGACCCTCAGGTCTTGATACCCATGACAAGTGATGAGTCGCCGGCAGACCCTCAGGTCTTGATACCTATGACAAGTGATGAGTCGCCGGCAGACCCTCAGGTCTTGATGCCCACGACAAGTGATGAGCCGCCGGCAGACCTCCAGGTCTTGATACCCACGGCAAGTGATGAGTCGCCGGCAGACCCTCAGGTCTTGATACCCACGGCAAGTGATGAATCGTCGGCATGCCCTCAGGCCTTGATAATCACTCAGCCTCTGCGTAACTTTAAAGCCCCCGGGAAACTTACGGAAACACGATAAGCGGATATTTGGACAGCTGTTTTCCAGATCCGTGTCCCCACACGTGAAGAGCGTGGTAAGGAACATAGCAGACCACTCTTCGGCAATGCTTTCTTTCTTAGACGCCGCACAGGACCACCTAGCATGAGAAAATGAGCCAGCAGTTTCAGCATTCATTGTCACGTACCAAGATCGCAGATGTTTTTAAGTTGTGAGAACTTTTTGATAAGCTATGTGTCATGATCTAAGTAACTATATTACAAAGGGCTGCAATGAGGACTGCAATCCATCTTTTGAGAAAGAAAACCATGGATTAAAATCCCTTGTACATGAAAGGGCTTCAGGTTGGCTTGTGATACTCCTTGAAAGATTTTTGCCGATCTATTTTGTCCTGACAAGGCCCGAACGTCGATAACTCGTATCAGCGCGCTGCAGACACCGCCGGTCCAGATATCACGACATAAGTTTACAGTACGACGCCACGAACATCACCCAAGAGGCTTCAATCGCGCCGTGTCAAGCCTCGTGTCACACAACCGACGGAGCCTCGTCGGCGCACGCCGGTCACGACTGGCTTCAAATGAAAAGCTCAGGTAAGAGCCGGCCTTTTTCCGCGTCGAGCGCTGACGGCGCGTCATTTGCAGGAGCTTAGGTCCGTTAATTCGCCTCTCGCAACTAGGTCACGGCAAGGAGCGCCATCAGCCGGCGAAATTATAAGCAGCAGGCAGACATCGCATTGCTCAACTAAAAAGACACGACACAACTCAAGTGAATGCCTGCCGAGAAAATGCCGCCCAAACAAAGTCGAACACACAAAGACAGAAATGTTACGATCCATGCCAAACGCGAGACGCATCATAACCGTGACACGGAGCCCGCGTAGAACATGCGAAGACTCCGGCAGCGCCACGGCAACCCGCGGGCGGGTCGGCAAACTGCTCCGGCGCTCAAACACTTGGTAATCACCGCTGATCACAGATGGCGCGCCGCTCGGCGCCGATCACATGTCGATACACGCAAAAACTGCGCGTTTAATCGTCTCAGCACGAGGTGCCATGGTGACCGAAATGTCTTCGTCATATCCTGAAGGACTACAAAATTGTGAAGGGTCCGGAACTGAGAGCTTGAAATCGTCCATAAATATGTAATTCCCCACCAAAAATCCGGAACTTTGATGAAATGGAAACATTTAAACTCATAGGCACACCACACTAGACCAGAACGGGAGGTTTGACCGCTGACGACAGGTAAATAAGCTAAGGGTGACGACTGAAATGACCGGGACTAAGAGCAAATGGCTAGGAACGGGAGGGCCCTATGCCTCATTGACGACTAAAAACATAAAACAGGTGGCCACAAATGAGTTAAACGTACGAAATAGCACCATAATGACGGGAATCCCACCAACATGGCTCGGCAGCGACGGAAGATGAAGCCACACAAGCGATACGTGGCGACACGGGCCTTCGACGGCGGAGAGCGCGGCAGCATTGGCCTGTGGTGTCCGGATGCGTGGCAGCTCAATTGGCGCTGAAAGTCCACCTGCAGCGCAATTCATGAGCGAGTTCTTATAAATTACAGCCACTGTAAGTTGAACTTTGGGGCATAATAACTGCAACTTGCCTGAAGTTTGTGGACTTTGCGGGGCCTACCGGGTGTGGCGAAGTGGCGCGCTCACGGAACAGAGAATGAAACAGATGCAGCTACAGGCAGTGCACGGAATTCAAAGCTCCCTGCATCTGGTTGCTGCCGCAGCAACATCCCCTTAATGTCCTAAATCCTCACAACGGTATTCGTACGAATGGAGAAGAATCCAGCATTTCGTCATTCTGGAAAGGTCTCCAGTGCCTAAAATAGGCAAACTTGAAGTGCTCAACTTTCACGAGTCAGTTTCTGTTGTTCTGGTCATACGTTGGTCACTGTACATATGTTGATTTCGGATGTCACCCGTAGCTATGGACTCCGTCAGAATCCGTCGACACGCAGCTTCAGCCAGCTGCCGCAGCACGTGGTGACAAGCAGCAGACGAAGGCCGGCCGATGGCAGTTGTTCTGGTTGCCATGGTTACATCGCCCGGATACCGACGACAGAGTCAAGATTATTGACGGAATAAAGCCTAAAATCGCCAAGTAAGCTCTAATCCAAATCAAATGATATCTATCAAATGACTTCATGAAAGGAAAAAGAACGAGCTTAGAGGGTTGGTGGACAAGTCCAGCGCCAACACAATTGTAAAAACAGCTTGTCTTATCATACGTCAAGACATCCCGCGCTACGCAACAAGAAGTTTCCTACGATATCTTATCCGAGCTTCCCAAGGGAGTTGACACACCCAGCTCGTCGTCCGCTCGTCCTTCGATCAGGAGCTCGACATGCCACAACTGCGCCAGTGATGCGTGGAGGTGACGTCACGGCACCAGCATAGCAGCCGGGACATAGCGAGCGCTGGGAAACCGGCAGCCAAGTCAGCCGGAGACGGGACGGCCGGCCGGCGGCGGACAACGGCAGAGCGGCGACAGCCTCGCCACGCACGCGCGCACGGCCAGTCCCATGCGGCAGAACCTCCACTCACGCCGTTGTAACGCCGCACCCCGTAACCGTGTGGCCAGAAACCAGTTACAGCGATTTTTACTGCTCATCAGTCAAATCTCATGTAGAACTGACCTTTTCATGGCTCACATGCTGACACGGTGTGGTCTCAGAAACGGCGCCAAGTTCCAGTCTCGCTCAAAAGTCGTGCACAGGTGTGCTCGCGGACGTCCGGCACGGCCCAGCATGCGTCACCCCGCCAGACACCAGCCGCCTGGCGGACTGGCGGATTTCCACAGCGGCGTGCCGTCAGGGCCTGACTCATCGTCCAGGCGCGCGTCTTCCCGGACCTCCAGCGCGGACCACCGCGCCAACGACCTTGGGTGGCCCCGCTGGGTCGCAGCCGCGGAAGCAGAAGCGTTCTTAAACGGACAGCAGAGCACAAAATGCCAGATTTAAAAGACTGTGCCCGGTGGTTTGGTGTGCTTGTTCCAACTTATGCTGCACTGGCATTAGTAAAGCAACTACCAGGCGTGGTACTGGTATTTTATTGTTCTCATTCGACTGTGATCATCGGGTTTGGACACTCTTAAATATAGCTTTGGCGTATACACGACCATCTTTTCCTGTGACGGCGGCAGGTTTGATGCAGAACTAAGGATGTAAAACCTAACACTGAATTACATTGTACCAAACATTTTTCACACCGAACATCACGACGCCCTTATCACTTGCTTCCAGAACAGCCAACATCAAAATAAACGCTGCGCGCAGTTACCACCCCACAAATGAGTTCAAGAACCGCACCGAACTACAGACGCGTGCAAACGAGTATTGGGAGCTCGAAAGGATTCACAGAGAGGCTTCCCCGGACGTCGCAACATCTCGAAATATATGTAGCAGCTTATCTCTCACAGTCCAGTTACTAAGACCTGCGTGCAGCGCACCGCATCACCTAAACTAAGCACAGCGACCCCACCATCGAGTCGGTCTGCACTGGTCCGCTAACACCACGGCCGAGTCACCTGAGGCATTGAAGGCACATGGCCTGCGGTCTCTCCTGCCCGAGGTCCCGCAGGGGTCGCCCAGTTCGTCACAGCACAGCACGGGGGCCGAGCGTGGCCAGTTCGCGCGGCGCGCCCGTCACCACAGATTCACGAAGCGCTGTGGTTCACTTGGGATACCGCGAGAGCCTGCGTACCGCGAGAGCCTGCGGGATTCGCGGTCTCTGACAATCGATCGGCGGCGTTCCGCGAAGGAGCTGCCGCTGCTCAGTGGAAGCCGCAGCAGCTCATGAGCGCGCTGTCACGCATCCATGACCTCAGCTCGTTACCGTAAGCCGGTCACCTGACGCCCCGTCACCCGGAGAAGGCCTCCGCTCAGCGGCGTCCGCTCCTTACGGCGGCAGCAGACCACGCCGCTACACCTGTCCCGCACAGAGGACAGTCTTGGCTTCGACTGCCGGTCAGCAACAGCTTCCACTGCCAGCAGTGACCGACTACGGCCGGCCAGGATCACCGCGAGGGTGGTCGCAGGCTAGAGGCGCCGCGCTGGCCGCCGGGCGAACGCTGGCGGCCCTCCGCGCTGCGCCGGCCCGGCTGCCAGCCAGAGCTCGCGTCGTGTCCAGCTGAAAGCAGCTGGCCGCCGGACGCCGAGCGCTTCCGCACGGCTGGACTCGGCGAGCCGCCCTTCCGCGCCGGCGCCGGACTCGGAGTCCGTGCGCGCGGGTCGGGACTCCTAGAGCGTGAGCGGTGCCGCGACGACGAGGCGCCGTTGACTGGCTTACCCGCGCGGGGGTCGGGGCTATTCTGGCGCGAGCGCTCCTTGGAGGGCGCCTTGCCGTTGCTGGGCCTCTGTGACGCCGCCCGCGGGTCGGGGCTCCGAGAACGGGAGCGGTTGCGCGCCGAGCGCGCCTGCTGCACACCGAGCCTGGGCGACGCCGCCCGCGGGTCGGGGCTCCGCGAGCGCGAACGCGGCGCGGCCGACGAGCGCACGCTCCTGTCGTTAGAGCTGGCCGAGCGGTAGCCCGAGTCGGCGCCGTGCGGCCGCGGGCTCTTGGAGCGGTCGCGGGCCGCCTCCGTCGCGCCGGCGTCGGGCCGTAGGCTAGGTGAGCAGCCGTCCGTCCCGTCGGCGCCGCGGCCACCGAACACGTGCGAGATCTTGCGCAGCATGCCGGACGGCGAGGGTGCCGAGATCTTGCGACCCTTGGCGTTCAGCGGAGAGGCGCCTTGCAGCGTGGCCGGCGCGCTGGCCGGCGACGGTGCTGACACCTTGCGGCCGGGCGAGGGCGAGAGCGAGAGGCGCGGCTCCACGCGCGGCGCCACCAGGCCTGTCGGCGTCGGCGCAGAAATCTTCCGCTGTGGCTGAGGAGGCGCACCGCTCCCGGTCAACTTCCGGTTGTCGTTAAGAAGTTTGAGCACCAGCGCCTTGTCGGCAGGCAGGCCGTCCTCTTGTTTGGAGATTTTCCTGCCCGTCAGCTCCCCCTTCAAGATCTTCTTGCCGTCACCCTTGCGACCCATCTCCTGGAACATGGCCTCATTGACATAGGAGAAGTCGCCGAAGACGTCGTTGTCGATCGTCTTTAGGATCTCTTTATCGATGACGGTGAGGGCCGGCGCTTCACGCAGAAAGCTCTTATCGAAGCACGACCAGTCCTTTGCGCCCTTCAGTCTGGGCTTTACGGGCGGCGGCAGCTTCTTCTTCTCCAGCTTCTCCCAATTGATAGGTTTGAAGAAGACCTGGTCGCGGGTGTTGCCGGCCGGGCAGCCAACCGAGCCTAGCCGTTTCTCGGGGTCCTTCTCCAGCAGGAAACCGAGGATCTCGCGCGCTTGCACAGAGATGTAGCGCGGGTAGTACACCTCCTCGTTGCAGATGGACCAGAAGAGCTCGTCCTCGTCCGTGCCCGAGAACGGCGAGCGGCCAATCAGCATCTCGTAGAGCAGAATGCCATACGACCACCAGTCGACGGCCTGGTCATAGCGTTTGCCGCGCACAATCTCGGGCGCGAGGTAGTCGGGCGTGCCGCAGAAGGTCGAGCACCGTGTCTGGTCGGTCACGTTCATCCGACACAGACCCATGTCGCAGATGCGAGCGTGGCCGTCGGCGTCCAGCACGATATTGTCCAGCTTGATGTCGCGGTAGACCACGTGGCGCGCGTGCAGGTACTCGAGCCCGCAGAGTACCTCCGCGGCGTAGAAGCGCGCGCGGTCCTGGTCAAAGCGGCCCGACTGCTGGATGTGGAACATGAGATCGCCGCCGTTGAGGAACTCCATGACGAAGAAAAGATGCGACGACGACTGGAAGGTACAGAAGAGGTGACAGAGGAACGGGTGCTGGGTGCCGAGAGCAAGCACGTTCCTCTCGATCATTGTGCATTCGACATCGTCGTCGTCCAGCACCACGTCCTTCTTCAGGCACTTGATGGCGAACGTATGGTGAGAGCCCTTCATTTCGGCCAGCATCACCTTGCCGAAGCTGCCCTTGCCCAGCACCTTGAGCATCTGGAAGTCGTCGATGTTGAACTGCGGCTCCAAGGCGGCCGGCGGCGGGTCGATGATCGCCAGCGAATCGCGTCGCTCGGCCGATTCTTCGCGCGGCGGCAGCGGCACCAGATCCGCCGCAGCCGACTCCTGGATCGGCGTCAGTCTATCATCGCCCGCCCCGCCGTCGCTGGCGGCCGGCTTCGGCACCCTCTTTACCTCGTGCAGCAGCTCGTGCAGCCGCTTCTGGTCGATGCCGCACAGGTTGGGCAGCTTGCTCTGACACTTCTTGTGGCAGTTGAGGCCGCACGCCTCACAGCGCAGGCCCTGGCGGAAGAGGCCGTACAACAGGGTGCCGCACTGGTCACAGAACGTCGGGGACTTGTAGTTGTGTATCCTCATGCGGTGCGGCACGTTGATATTGAAGCGCTCGCGCAGGATCACGCTCTGCTCCGTCTCGGCCGCCGTGCCGGGGCACCGGCCCAGGATCTTACCGTGGCACTCGCGGTGCACGGCACATTGGCACAGCTGGCACTGGTATCCCTGCTTGCGGAAGCCCCACATGAATTTGTGGCAGAAGGCGCAGAAGGCGAACTGGCGGAAGAACTTGGCGATGAACTTGTGGCCGCGCACTTCGTGCACCTTGTGGTGCTTGACGGCGCCGCGTCGTGCCGGTAGCTCCGTCTGCGTCTCGATCTCAGTGCCTTCCTTCACTTCCACATCCTCGCCGTCGTCAGTGAGTTTGACCCGTACGTTCAGCCAGCCCGACGGCTTCAACTTCAGCATCACCTGCGCGTGGTTCTGCCTGTTATCCTCGCACTTCTGCACCAGCGTCGACGCCGCCACCGTCGTCTCCATGGTGGTGCCCGACTCAAACTCGAGCGTGATCTGGAAGTACGACTTGTCCTTCATCGGCACGACGAAGGCGTTGCGGAGCGAGTGCACGGTGAAGGTGCACTGGTGCTCCAGGTGCGTCTTGCCGTCTTCGCCGCGCACCGCCTCCTTCCGCGCCAGGTGCGCCTCCAGCCCCGGACAGTCGAGAATTTCCAGCGGGCCCTCACCGAAGTCGATGCTCCGCAGAGCCAGCGTAAAGACGGGCGCCATCTTGGCAACGACGTTTGTCAAACTGTTTGCGACTGCGGATTACCGTCCCGAGGAGGCGCTCCCGTCACCTCCAGGCGCGGTAGCCACGAATTCCCCGATCGAGCGGCGCCGTCCTGAGGGGCGACCTCGCTCCCACTCGTGGGTCACTCACCACCGTGTCAGCGAGCACGTGCCGCGAGTCCTGCCCGTCTAACGAACCACTCGCCACCGCCCGTGAGACCGTCCACGTGACGCCACCGCCGCGCGGTCCCGCCGGCACGGTCTCACCGCCGCCGCGCGCGTCGCGCCCGCCCGAGGACTGCACGGCCGGCAGCGGCCGCCGCAGACGCACACCACCGCCCTGCGCCTCACCAGTCCGGCAGAGGCGTCGCCAGGCTTCGAGCGCGCCCGCCGCCCGACCGACTTCGAATGTTTACGGGCCGCAGACAAACCGCACAAGAGCTCAGGCCGCGCGGCGATTAGCGCCAATCTTATCGGGTCAGCCGGCGCTGGCGGCGCACGGAGCGCGGAGGCGAAAGTGGCGCGGACGTGACGGCCGCGGTCACGTCCGGTGGCGACCTCGCGTGACGTCACCAGCCGCCGCTGCCCGATGAAAGGGAAAACGGGCGACGAGCGGGCGGACCGGCCGCGTTTTTCAGCCCCGTCCGGTATTTCTCAGTCGTCAAAGCGGGGGCGTGTGCTGAGCGGTGGACTTCCCGGTGACGAGGTGCTCTCCACCCCCATTACCGGTCCGCAGAGCTCCAGCGCGCGGGGAGGACGAAACCGCCATACGCTGCAGCTGCCCCCGCCGTTTACTGTCGGATTAGTGGCCAGCCCTTCACGACCGAGCGTCGTTGTCATCACGAACACGGTATCACGTCGCTGCCATACCCCGACGAACGACGCCGGATCGAAACACCATCAGCATGCAGCCTCCATGGAGCCGCAGTGCACGGCTGTCTGGGTCACATCAGGCGGGCAACGACCGGCGATATGGCCGCCGACGACGCTCTTCAGGTGGGGATGGCCCACTTCCACCGGCGCCGGCGCCGGCGCCGGCGGTCCGCCCCCAGTCCCCGGGAAACGGGCGTGGACTCCGGGGCGCCGGCCGAGACGAGCGGCGCCGGCCGCGGACCGGTAGCCGATCGGGGTCCGCGGCGGTCCCGGGCTCATTAGCCCCACACGTGGCGCCGCGCTACACAGCGGAGCGACACAGAACGTGGATGGGGCCATCACAGGGAACGACCAGGTGTGCTCGTAACGCGTTATCTCGGTTAGCTCCTGGTAGCAGCGTACACGCTGGGTGCAGCAGCACGGGCAGGGACAAGATTGCACAGGCTAGTGGGCTGGCGTCCTTGTTTGCATTTGATAATGAAATTCATTTCTGATGGCGTTGATGGATAAGGTCAAAACCGTCGACGGAGACAGTTTCAAATCCACAATTCACACTAAAATGAGTCAATCTGTTTAGCCCACGGACAGTCGTAGTGAGCCAGGCCAGTTGGGTTCACGGCCAGGTCAAATGACGTCGTGAATGTGCCCGTGACAGGTCATCACAAATGGACTACCCTTTGGGCTGCCAGAATCAGGCGATCAGGAGTAAGGCCAGTTGGTCGATGAACGTATCAATTGACTCGGCAAGCGCGACCCAACGGGAGCTCGGCCGCACTTCATCACCTCCCACTGCCAGGTCTGCAGGACCGCCGTCGCCTCGGCCGATCGTGACCCCGGCTGACCTGCCCGTGCCCCGACCGCGTCACCAGGAGACCGGCCCGTAACGGGGCGTGGCGGTCAACATGGCGGGTGAGGGCGTGACGATGTGACGCATCACAAACGGCGCCAGCCACGCGCCGCCCGCCGCTCGCCCCGCCCCGCCACGCGCCCCCACTCGCCTCACCGGTCACGTCAGGGCCCAGGCCGACCCACGCCGACGCCCGAGCCGTTACGCAAAACCGTCACGTGGGGGCGCTGAAATCGTGAGCAGCCGCACACCGCGAGCTTCTGAAAGTTCCCACCGGCGCGGTCCGAGGTGGAGGCCCCGGCTGACCCGTTGTGACAGTGGCGGTCGACACCTTGCGAAAATACTGACCCAAAACTCCGCGGCGCCCCCGCCTCGAGGCCTCATCGTGACGATAATGCAGCTGGCATAGGGGGTCCTTCCAGTCATCTGCAGGTCCGCGGATAGCCGCAAAGCATATTTCTGCACGGTGCGCTCTGCCTTGTTGCTATTTTGGAGCGCCAAGCGTGAAAGGTTAATCACATTCCATACGAGCAGAACCAAGCAAAAGGAAGCCAATCAAAGGCGAAAAGGAAACGCCAACTGCGCTGAGATATCCATGCTTGACATGTTACTATTCAAATATTTCATTCTGGTACTAATAAGCAGCGCCACTGCGCCAAACCTGTAGCCTGGGAGCCGATGTTACGCGAATAGCTCACTGCCGCATACGCTAGTTTGTTTCGTTTTCAGAAGCTCCGATGATAGGTTACGTAAAGTCAGGTCCAACATGGCGTTCCCAGGCTCTCCTCGGTAATCATATCAACAAACATCCGGAGCCCCTTCGAATGCGTGCCACTAAACTTCCAACGCGCTCCGCTCGCTGCGAGCTGGGGGGCCGCGCTGTGCGCTGAAGAAGGGCCTGAACGCCGCCGACAGCCATCTGCCATATTTAAATATCTATGCCGTTTCCAGAAGGTTGTATGGTCTACACTCCTACGTCAGTCTTAGAGCGACCTTTTCTCCCGTTATTGAAGTGGCGTGTCATGACGAGAAGAACACGATTGCCTTCAAAGGTGTGCCAGCAAACTGTGTCCGGCAGTACGATGGGTGGCGCTCGTGCGCTGAGGGAAAGCCGGATATCTGTTTCGTGCGTCGCAGTCTCTTGTGGTAAGGCAGGGTGCCACTGGCTTGTAGCAAATTACAACCTGTAATACACGCCGAAGCTGACGCTTAGAGGGCTACCAAATGTTCGTGATTTACGATCGGTTGCTACCGGTAACGATTGGTGAATCCAGAGGTGCACATTTTCAATGAAATGCAGAGCGCCTTTTAGCTCGTATCCACCCATTTCTTCCGTTTCCAGAAACTCTGGTGATATTGCAAATAATAAGTAAGTGTCTCCAATGGCCTCCTCTCCCATCCATGTCGATCCTACATTGCCGAACACACATTGAGTATCTCCCCCATAAAAAGACAATATCCCAGTTTGACTAGGCGAATAGGTAGAGTTATGCTTTGCACTGAACGGCCTATGACGGCAGTTGGAAGGCGTGTCAGTCTCCCGATATGATACGCCTTATCGCCGGCGTCAGGCAGGCTGATGTCTCGTGCAGGCTGATGTCTCTCAAGCAGGATGAGGTCTACGGTTCCAATGCCGGGATGTCTCCATGGCTCCTCACTCGTCGCAATTCGTTGGTCCGTCTATGTGCATTCGTTGCGCGGTTGGTCGTTATTCCACCCTGACCACCTCCCCTCCTGCAGACTCCCCAGATCTCCAGCGATTTCGGGGGTTCAGCGTTGGGAGTCGGGCCAAGTTGTCCCGCGCCCCTCCCCTCGTGGCGACGTCTTTGTTTCCCACACTGGGCATTGGCGCGGTTGGAAATGTTCTGCAACAACACATAACAACCAGAGTGGGACTGAGAAAGGAGCGACTCGGCGCGCCAGGAGTCCGCGGCCTGTCTGCAGCTGCGCCTCGTCGTCGTCGTCACCTCGTCGCTGCCGCGCCACGGACGTCGCAGCTTGCCGCGTCCAGTTTTATGCATAGCACATTACGATTTCATGCGACGGCCGAGCCCGGCCGACAAAAGCCGCATTTACAATGCCGCTCTCCGTCACTTCACGCTGAACGGGACCGAGGCGTGACGTACGCGGCACCGCGGTTTGCCTCCAACGCTCCGCTCTCTAGATACGAACGGTTGCCACCGTCCTCTCAGATGAGACACGTCACACAGGGCCGAGTCCTTGACAGCGCTTCTCAAAGTTCCTTATCGAAATCGCATACGTGCTTATCGTGACAGGAGCAGATGAGGCGGACTGCACGTGCCTAGCGCCTGTCATGCGCCCGATGTACGAGAGGCCAGGGCCGGGCACGCGGTGCACGGACCGGAGCCGTGCACGGAGGAGAGTCCTGCACAGAGGAGAGACCGTCAGAGAATCCTCTGCCGGTGGGTCGGAGCGGCGCGAGAATTCGGTTCGAAGCGACGAATGAGGAAAACATGGCGGATGCACGCGAGATCAGTTCCAACAATATTTTGATTCAGCGCAAAAATTAGCCTGAGCCTAGATGCACGTACAAGTGGCTTTCGCCAATGTCGAGGTTGTCTGCGCAAGAAAATCCCACACAAGTTGAAGGGAATTTCCTCCCAAAACGATGATTCGAAGGAATCATCGTCCCACTCCCGAATAGCCGGCGGAGCAGACGAGTCGCTGACCGACGAACGTCGGCGTCGGGTGCCGGCAAGCGGCGGGATGGTAAAGCTGGCTTTGTCCGTATCTAAAATGATCTCTTATTGTAAGCAGAGCCAGCGTTTCGACGTGACGGCGAGGAGGCATGTGAAGCAGTGCGGACTGGCCGAAATGAGCGCAAAAAGAAGCGGCGACGAAAAACAACGGCCGAAAGCGAGGTGTGGTGGCCACGTGCTGTGGATGTAACCCATGTCGCCAAAAGGAGGCCGTTCAACGTTTTCCATACAGATCTGTCGGAACTCGTCGTAATCAAACCACGAAGTCATGAGGCATTTCGCAAGATTCTGTGCATTGGTACCGTATGAATAAATTTATCGGCCACGATCGACTCGAATCAACGTCACTAACGAATGAATCACAAAGGCGTTCCACTCCTGATCGCCAAAACATGTCTTTTCGCGCAACACTGTCAGATTCTGACTTGCCATGTATCCACACGCTGAGTGAATTAGAATTGGCGAACGGGTGTCTTACATGAAAGACATGGACAGCAGCAAACATTACCATATCCCAGCACACCCAATCTGTCTCACTCATGTTGACCCGACCCCGATCTGCCGTCTTCCCACAGAGCCCTACCTCCGCTCCATCCCCGCCAGACATCAGCGAGCCCGGGCTCACACCCATCCGTCTGGCTCTGCCTCTCCCCCTCCCCGGCCTGCGGCAGCTCATCGCCCGACGGGGCTGCCGTCGGCGCGGCGGAGACCGACATTAACCCCAGCGAGGTCGGCTGGCGGCGGCGACGACGGCAGCGGTGACGGCGCACGGCGGGCCTCGTCCGCGCCGACCCCGGATCGGCCCCGGGTCGTGACGGCTATCTCGGACGCGGCGGCCGCGCCCCGCCCCCGGCGGCCACCTCGGGGAGCGGACTCTGCCCCGGAGGCGGCGCCGGCCCTCCCACGCTGCCGCCGGCAGTCGCCCGTCTCCGGGTCCGGAGTCTGCCTCAGCAGCGAGGCGACGTCCGCGGGCACCCAAGGTGACGCCGCACGCAACGTGGGAACAGGAAGCCCTAGACATCCGCCGCGATTGGGTAACGCGTGCCAAGACTCATCTCGTGGCTCTGATGGGGAGAGGGAAAGGGACGAGTGAGACGATGTCGTTCTTGTCACCAAGGTCACACAGTGGTGACGAACGAAGCAGGCGAGCTCAATTAGGACGTCCTCTCGAAGCGCACTACAATAACGCTCTGACACCTTAACATTTTGAGAGGGCTCCGGTAAGACCTCGGAGCGAGCGCGCTCATATTTGATGGCGTCATCTGGAGCCGCGCCACGACATGAATCGAACTGAAAGCAGAGCGCAGTCTGGGTTCTGGCCTCGCACAACAGGCTTGGACAGTGCCGCGACCATAAGCACTATCCGTTCCACATCCGCTTTTCTCTCGTGATACTGGAGTCAGCCTACTATTAGCGAGGAAACCAGAACAAACCAGACCAAACCAGAACAAAAACAAAGCCGGCCATTGGTTCAGGAACAAAAACAAAACCGGCCATTGGTTCAGGAACAGAACAAAAACAAACCGGCCATTGGTTCAGGACGAAACACAAAACCGGCCATTGGTTCATCCTGTTCCTCCTGTCGTCATCCCAAAACGTTCATTGATCCAGCACATACGTCTGAAACATAAGACCGCTAGTCCATCCAACCCTTTTCGCGCAATGATGCCGTGCATTATCCCGTCACAAAGTGTACGAAAACTGCATCGCTGATCAAACCAGTTGCTAGCCACGGTCCCGTCCCCCACGGTACCGTGTGGACGCCAGCACCAGCAGCGCACCTCGTTGGGGACCAGCAGTCGCCCGCTGACAGGGACCGCCGCCGACGCGCGCCTGGCAAAGCCCCGAGTCCGGGCATCAGGTCCGTTTCCGCGCGCCAGCCACGCGCAGGTCCTTCGACACTGCTCACCCATGCGTGATGAGTGGAATAGTACACGTGGGCGTTCAACCACTCGAATCGCATGCTGGGAAAGCCAGGACGCCCTGTCGGTGTGGTTTTGGCTCGTATCCATGACTCTGAGTGCGTGTCGGTACGTTTGATACACCCCCTGAGAGCGACAAAACGCATGCATCCGTATCATGATGTCGCGACACTATGTACGCAAGTTGGCAGCAAATGCGGCGAAGCAAAGCTAGCAAAGCTGCCGCCTTCGAGATACTTCAGGTCTCACGGGGGGAAGCCGTTCAAACCCCAAAACCGCGGCGAAGCAAAGCTACCGCCTTCGGGATACTTCAGGTCTCACGGGGGGAAGCCGTTCAAACCCCAAAACCAACGTACAGCCGCCGCGGGTAACGCGCTCAGCACGCCGCCCATCCCCAACCCGCACCCAGCGGCACGCAGGCACCGAGCACGCCAACAGCGAGCGGGGAGCGGCCGTGTAGACGAAGCAAACTCGGCCGCAACCGCATCCGGCAGCCGGGCCAACGCAAACGCGGGAGCGGGCGCGCTCTCGCATCGACCGTTGCCCCGGCCGGGATGCACGGCCTTGGCTTGTTGACCCAGGCACGTCAGCCGGCCTGGGACGGCCGGGTGGCACGTGACGGCCGCCCGGGCCCCGCTCGCCGGCCGCGGCAGCCTGCGGCGACGGCCGGCGCGGCGCTGGTCGCGCTGAACGGGTCGCTGGCCGTGCGGTCGACAGGGCAAACTTTTGGTCGTTGCGGTGCTGCTGCTGCTGCTGCTGTTGGGTGGCTTGGCGTTTCCAGTGGTGGTTCGGGCGTCGTGGAGAACGTGCAAGACAGACGATGGCGTTGTTGGGCGCTTGTGTCGCTCGAGATCGTGTGCTTGTTCAGGCCTCCGTAGCTTAATATCCGCGTATTGCAGCGTCCGCAATCCCCTGCATCAGTCTCAGATCCGCTGAAGGTTCCTCAAACGTCCGACTCCGCTCGTAAAACTTGTATTGCGTCGCGAACAACCCCACTTCAGGAATTCGTTCAAGAAAAGCGGGCGCCAGGTCAAAATAGCACCTCAATCCCCATTTCGCCGAGCAAACAGTCTGCTTGCATTCCCAATGTCATACAGAGCGGAAAGAGCCGCACGGGGACATCACGCCTTCCTCGCACGGCGTTTTCAATATCGGCGTCGGCGTCCATTGAGGCGCATTCTATCGCATTGACTGCCGGCGCCGCCGGGTGCCGGCAGGAGCAGCCGTCAGCGGACCGGCGGCTCAGCGCGGGATGAGGGCGAGGCCGGACAGGACACCGCCCGCAGCTTGTAACGAGTGGCTCTGGCGATCACGCAGCCCAGCTGGTGCCTCGCCACAGCATGACAGCACAGAACGATTTCGGGTGAACTGTTTCTGTACTGCAGTACGTAGTAAGAAGACCAGTACATGTGCCCAGGTCAGCACGCCAAGGCTGAAGTTTACAAACATGGGAGCTCAAGTTCCTGAACATACCGAAAGCACCAATCAAGTTTCACCCGTGACAGGATTAACCCAAGACGCTTCAATGGCTCCCTTCAATTCACTAGGTTAAATCACTGCAAGATAGCGTTTCATAGCCTTAAAGGGCTTTGGAGATATTGGAGCAAGAATCAGATAAGATGAAATAAGCTCACTTTAAACTATTGGTATACCTTAAAGTGAAAAAGACTGCTCTAGACCATACAATATCTCTGTTAAGCAAATATGCCCCTCAATATGTCATGATTTGATTACGTCATCGTACCTTGCACAACACTGAATGAGGGACAATTGACGGCCGTTTTACCTGGAAATCGTGCTTACGAACGCCAGATATGAACGACCCGACAATTATAGCTTCTGAGCCTTGATCGCCACATAGCCAATGGAATCGCACGATTTGAATGACGTTATTATGGCACCATGGATGCCTGGGTGACCTTGAAAATATGAAATATGAATGATGAAAATATGAAAATATGAAAATATGAAAATAATGAAAATAGAAATAGTCGCCACATCCTCCCGCGCGTGTAACTCAGAGACTAGAGGTTTGGGCCTTAAGAAGGGCAGGGCCGTGAACTACACCGCATGACCTTCAAGATGACTTTTTCAGTTCCAAACCGCACACAAATGTGGAGCACTACCTTTAAGCTGCGACGAAGCTGCACGGCGGCGGGAGGCAGCCTTCAGGAGCCTGACCGCGTTCGGAAGAAGCCGCTCGCGCCGCCGCTCCGTCCAACAGCAAGGCCGCGCGTCCACTTTCATCCATTCATCCATCATTCGGCAAAGACGCTAGTCGGGCGACCGTGGACCGCAGAGCTGTTGCGCCACCCGCCATTTGTGCACGGCAAAGGTCGGCCTGACTAACGAGAGGTCGGCCGGGGCCGGCCAGGCAGCGCCCGCGGCGCACGGTCGTGTGCTCGCGTCGGGCGCGCGGCGCTGCGGCAAACGCTGGTGTGAGGTCCGCGTTGAAGCACCCCGGTGAGGAGGGCGCGCGGCGCTCAGTGCGGGCGGAACCCGAGCATTGCCGGCCGGTGGAGGAGAGCCACACTTAAAGACGAGGTCGCAGAAAGGAGAAGAGCTCAGCCATGTCCCCCTCCCCCCCCCCCCCCACACACACACCAGCGGCAGCAGGTATCGGCGAACTACACAGCGCGCCCTCACATTCCAACACATTCAGGCCGCCGGCATAGAAGCGCTACGCCTTCGCAGCCCCAACCACCACTCCTCAGGGTAGGCACAGTGCATAACCCATCTCACCCGAGAGTGCGCACGCCTCCTGCCAGCCGGCGTGAACCCTCGCGGCGTCCCCCCTCCCCCTCCCTTCCCCCGGCGGACTACGTACTACTTAAGGCTCCACACGTGCCCTGTGAGACAAATGTAGCGGCGGAACGGGCGCCGAGATGGCGCCGGCTCCCGGAGCCGGCGGCCGCGCGGCGCGACCTCATCAGCACCCGGGGGCTTACTCGCCCGACGGCGCTGATAGCGGCCCGCGCCGATTGCCGGCCCAGGGGGTGGCGGCACGCCTGTTTTATGCCCACTCAACGTTCTTGCGAACTTCTAAATGCTGCGTGGGATTGTTCAGTGGCTATCGCCCGTTTGACAACGTATCAGAGGATTGAAGTGACGCACACAAATCGAGAGCAGATAACAGAGGCATTTGACACTTCTTCAAACACGAATCACACGCACACACAGGCACACAAAAGCGGGGCGAGGGAGTCCCAATGGCCCCGCAAATCAACCACGATCCAATAATTCAGACCGCTCCGATGCCAGCCGAATTTTTCAATTCGTCGTCTCGAAAGCAGACCGATCGAGCCGTTCTGGCACCGCCGAACCGCCAGACCACCCACCGGACCTCGCCGGCCGGACCGTCACGCCGGATCACCCACCGCACCTCGCCGGCCGGACCGTCACACCAGATCACCCACCGGACCCCGCCGGCCGGACCGTCACCCCAGACCACCCACCGGACCTCGCCGGCCGGACCGTCACATCAGACCTCATGGACTGCGCGCGCTAAGCAAGCCCGCAGATCGCAGACTCTGCCAACTGGGCCCGCCGAACGGCCCTCCGAGCTGGCCAGCGGCGCCGGCTGTACGGCCCGGCCGCCGGCTGTCCGCCCGGCCGCCCACTCCACCATCGATCGCTGCCGCCCCCGGAGCGGCCGCCGCCGCCGACGCGTCGATCCGGGCGCGTGCGGTCGCGACCCGAGGAATGACGACCGGCGGACGTTACTGCGTCGGTCTCCAGCCACCCGCACTGCCGGCCGGCCCGGATTATCCCGGTTCCATCGTCATCCGCAGGAAGGAATGCTCGTCGCGGAACATGGAGTCGTCCTACAGTCGGCCGTGAAGCTGGCGGGTCAGGATCGTGCGGCAAATGATGGACGCTGGTACATACGTTTATGACATTTTGAGCAGCCCCTAAGCCAGCCGTCCTAATACGGCCGGATGTCGCGGCTCCGTCTTCGCGTCATCCGCCACGCTGCCACTGCCATAGCGCCATCCGTTGGAGATGGTGCCCCGCCGACAGCCTCCTCGTCTGGGAGGTCGAGGCTCCAACGCCCACAGTCCGGACCGCAGTCCGCCCTCGCCTCACCGCTGCCGTCCGGGCCGGACAGGCGTCTTGGACGGACGGGACAGCTCCACCACGTGTCCGGGACGCCACACTGGCCCGGCGGCGCACGGCGGTGCTCGCCGATCGGGCCGGCCGGCGTTGGAGCGAGCCGTGGAGGCGGCGCGAGCTCGTTCGGCCGTTGGAGCGAGTCGTGGAGGCGGCGCGAGCTCGTTCGGCCGTAGGAGTGGGCCGTGGAGGCGGCGCGAGCACGGCCGACTGAAGGAACGGGCCGTGGAGGCGGTGCGAGCACGGCCGACGGAAGGATGCCGCGCCCGACCTACTCACGACGCCATTCGCGGGAATACGTACGGCAGACGCAGGTGGGCTTAATCACAGGCCACAGACAGCGAGCAGCGCACAATCATGCGCGGCCGCGTTCACGGAGAACCGACCCGGTTTAATCAAGGTTCAACGGGACGAAAACATTGTCAGAAGCCACGCCGCTACATTCAGGAATGAAGGAGCCGCGCGCAGAAATGCCGCTTTGATCCACACAGCGTAACGCCGAGAAAATCTCAACGCTCACCGCACGCAGTTCAGACGGCGGTAATGGCGCATCGAGCCAGGCGCGACGCCCCCCAGAGGCAATCCAAATTCGCAGTCAAAACAAGTTTCGACACAAACCTGGAGACGGGAGCAGCCGCGGACAACCAATCCGCGAACATTGCGGCCGCTGTTGCTGTCCGCCAGCAATCAGAGAGCTCACTCCTAACAGAAAGAACGTCACGGCGGTCGCCGAGCGCCGCCCAACGACCGTGCTTTGGACCGGCTAGCAGCAGCTCCGACAGCCGAGCAGCGCCGCTGTCTGACCAGTGACGCCAAAGCTGGTCTCTACGCGGCAGCTCCGACAGCCAAGCAGCGCCGCTGTCTGACCAGTGACGCCAATGCTGGTCTCTGCGCGGCAGCTCCGACAGCCGACCAGCGCCGCTGTCTGACCAGTGACGTCACCACCCACCTCCGCACTTCCCTAGAGTCACAACAACAGCATGCGAGGCGGTGGTTCTCGCTGCGGCCGGCTCCCGTTCGGCCGCGTCCATCGACGCTGAGCAGCGTTGCCACTCGGACAGTCTGACCGCCACGGCTGCCTGACGGATGCACACGCGTAACAAGCTCGGCAGCTGCCCGGACAGCGACGCCGGGGCTGCCGGGCCGGCACCGGTTGGTCAGTCCAGTCGGCGTGATGCAGTAGCAAGCTCGGCAGCTGCCCGGACAGCGACGCCGGGGCTGCCGGGCCGGCACCGGCTGCTCGGTCCAGTCGGCGTGATGCAATAACAAGCTCGGCAGCTGCCCGGACAGCGTCGCCGGGGCTGCCGGGCCGGCACCGGCTGGTCGGTCCGGTCGGCGTGATGCAGTAACAAGCTCGGCAGCTGCCCGGACGGCGTCGCCGGGGCTGCCGGGCCGGCACCGGCTGGTCAGTCCAGTCGGCGTGATGCAGTGACAAGCTCGGCAGCTGCCCGGACAGCGTCGCCGGGCTGCCGGGCCGGCACCGGCTGGTCAGTGCAGTCGGCGTGACGCGCGGCCTGATTGGGGTCCGGCTGCCCACGCGAGGGAAATCAATACTGCGAGCGCACCGGCTCGGCGTCGACGCGGCCGCGGCGCCGGCGGCCGGGCACCGTCACTTGCGGCGGGCGGTGACGGGGCGCCGCGGCAGCTCCGAATGTCGCCGCTCCGCCCAGCTGACCGTCCTGTGTCGCCGTGTGTGACCCTCCGGGCACTCGGCGGCCGAAGACAGCCCTCCTGAGCGTGTTCGTATTCCGCTGCTGGGGCCGGCGAGTCAGGAACAGCTGATCGGTGGCCGCGCGGCCTCCCAACACGCGGTCTTCGCCGAATCAACACAGGAATGGAGAAAGGGACGCGGCTCTCCCGCCACTTTCGTCGACTTTGGCCGCGCAGACGCCCAGTGGACAGCGCCTGAGATTGAAAGGGGTGCCCAGACTAGTGATGAGTCTGAGCTTCGAACGCCCTCGCTGTCCCTTCCCGTCGAGCCGTTCTTCACTTTGCAAACCATTCATTCACACCCCAACGGAGGGGCACGACCCATCCGCCTCCGGCCATCGCCGGACTCACCTTCTTCAGGTGCAGACTGAGGAACTTCAGCTCCTGATACAGACCGCGCAGGTGGCGACTCGTCTCCGTTGTCGTCTCGAGCAGCGACCTGGGGGCGGACGGTGCGTCACTTGAACGGCGCGGAACCGAAGACGGGGAACACACAGCCTGGACGCCGCAACACAGCGACGATGGAGGCAGAGGCTGGGACGCCAAACGTCCAGGCGACCGTCGGGCTGGAGATCGAACGGTATCTGCACCGGCAGTTCTACAACAACCGGCGCGACAAATTACAAGGCCGTTGAACTGACGTGCGTCGACAGACCACGAGGCAAAAATTATTGCAGGACAGAAGGCGTCACGGGTAGGTCCCATACCGTGGTCGCGAAGCGACATACACGCGCAGACTCGTGAAGCTGCACGCGGCCAGCGGCAGCAGGGGCAGGGGGACAAGTGAAGCGCGTACGAGTTCTGGTGACTCGAACACGACGCAACGGCGCTGCACGCATGCAAACCAGCGTAGAAGCGGAACATGCACGCTAGCTCGAGACAAGAGTATCGTAGCAAGGGCGGCGTTGACCCCCAGACGTGGTGAGTCCGTGTCGCACACCCTACAGGTCTGATGCATCACCAGTCAACGGCGCACGCGCTAAGTCACCGCGGCTTCCGAGGCGCGGACGAGACGTGCGCGCGTCGGCGCCCTCGTCGGCGCCAGCGTGTCGCGGCCAGCGCCGGTCGGCATCGTGAGCGGCGCACCGGGGCGCGGCGTCCCGCCTACCACCACCAGCCTGCCGTTGCCGCGACGCCGCCACCTCCAGGCCCGCCTCCATCTCAGCAGCAGGCGGGGGCGGCGCGATCAATGGCGACGGCTATGTTTAGCCACGGGAGGCCGAGGACGTTCATTTCCGATCCATCATGCTCGCGGCGGCGGCTCTGCGGTCGCAACGAGCGGCTATTTCGACGGCGGGCGTGGCGTCGCGCCGTCTAAAAGCGCCGGCGGGCGATGCGGCCGGCACGGCGCGGCATTTTGAGCGGCGCCGGTCGCTTGCCCGCCGCGTCATCTGCCTGACTCGTGAGCAGCGTCACAATCCCGCCGGGCCGGCGCATCGGCTCATTACAGCTGTCGCGAGCGGACTGCCGCCCGACGGCTGGACGCCATGAGGACTGCCGCCCGACGGCCGGGCGCCGTGAGGACTGCCGCCCGACGACCGGGCGCCGTGAGGACTGCCGCCCGACGGCTGGACGCCGTGAGGACTGCCGCCCGACGACCGGGCGCCGTGAGGACTGCCGCCCGACGACCGGGCGCCGTGAGGACTGCCACCTGACGGCCGGGCGCCGTGAGGACTGCCGCCCGACGGCCGGGCGCTGTGAGGACTGCCGCCCGACGGCTGGACGCCGTGAGGACTGCCGCCCGACGACCGGGCGCCGTGAGGACAGCCGCCCGACGGCCGGGCGCCGTGAGGACTGCCGCCCGGCGGCCGGGCGCCGTGAGGACTGCCGCCAGACGGCCGGGCGCCGTGAGGACTGCCGCCCGACGGCCGGCCGCCTCTAAAAGGCCTCACGACTGGCCGGCGCCAATAGCTAACGCTTTTAGCCGTGTCGAGTTTCTCGTCGTTGTCAGCCGTTATCCTGCTGTTTAGTAAGGTATTTGCCAGCTTTCATTTGACGGGGAGGCTGGGAGGGAGGTTTAGTGCCTCATATCCAGCATATCTCCCACCCTACCAGCCGGTCGGAGTCAGCCAAAGATGCCTGGCTCGTGCGATCCCGTCACATGCTAAGTTACCTTCAGACCATAACGCCATACTTCGAGTCCAAGGAAATTATCATCCAAAAATTCTTCCTAGTCGCATTGTCACCCTAACTAATGGCGACAATGCTGCCATATGGAGCTAACATGGACGAACAGAGATGTCTGCGACTCGTACAATGTACCATTTCGTACGTTTATACATACATTCCACGTTAAGTCGCATTGAAAAATGCTTTAAAACAGTTTTATCGACAAATACGTGTACTCGCGCCTATTTCTTTGGGACTGCTGCATCATTTGGCAAATCTATAAATGTCCAAAATGTACAGCATCTATCAAATAAGTTAGTGTCTATTAAACCTGTGCCCGGGGTTATGTGTGCCTCCAAAGTCATGCGATATCAAGACATAAAGCCTCGGCCTCAACGCGACAATGATTCAGGCTCCGGGAGCCAATTTCTACTAGTAGTCCAAACACATCGCCTCTCTTGCGTGATATCAATCTAGAAAGCGTGGTCGCGGAACTGACTACACAAAATGACGCATTCGATTCACAAACCAGGTTAGATTACGCAGCACAAAAGCGTGGCCCGGGTGGCCTGTAGACTGAGCGGACCTGTCATAAGCCAGTGACTCTCAGTGCGACTTACTAGAGACTGCAGAAACAGACAAAACGTCACGCATGAACACGGAACGGGCGGTGACGCTCAGAACCTCTTTCAAAGTTTAACTACGTGACGTCATTTTGACGTAACCCTTGGTGGCCCGAGGCTTAAAGGGAATGCTCCATATTTGTATGGGGTTTTGAACAGAAATAACATTTTTTTAGATCACCCGGTGCAGTTCACAGCCATGCACTTCATAAGAGCAAAACCCCTCTAGTTTCTGAGCTAAATGCCGGAAAAGATGTGCAGACTATTTCTTGCAGGCTATTTCAAGGCCACCAAAGCATTCATGACGTCATAATAACGTTGTTTAAACCCTGCCATTCCACTGGCCATGTCACGATCAAGGCCAAGAAAGTATAAATGTCAAGTCGTTCATATCTCGCGCTCGTAAGCACGATTTCCAGATATAACAGCCGTCAGTTGGCGCATGGTACAATGATGCAATCAAACAATGACGTGTTAAGAAGCAAATTTACTATACAGAGAAGATGTGTTGTCTAGAGCAGTCTTTTCCCGTTGAAAGTATACCAATAGTCACGAGAAAGCTTATTTTATCATATCTGATGGGTGTTTGGGCATAATCAAATGTGGAACATTTCCTTTAGATCGGGTACCTATGAGTTTGTCACACAAAGGGTTACTCATCAACACGGTAGACTGTCCGAACACCGGCGAACACGCCACACGCAATATGGCTTCATGTGGCCAACCTGTGACATCATCGGTTGACGTCTGACCTCCGCAGTGGGCGGTTTCTGGAAGGTTTTACAGCGGGAATAGAGCGCTAGTGTGGTTGTAATACTGTCAACGAACCTGCGACCACCTTCACGTGATTTGATTCTGGAAACCTTAGGATTTTTCAGTTTCGGCCACGAAAGGTAACACAGGGTTGAAATGTAGCGGTAATGCTCCCGATCAGTCAACTAATTAAACCAAAAATAATACGTCAAAAGAGCCATTTGCCAAACAAACAGGTCGTTGCTATTTCCTGTGCTCAGGGCAACAGGATTATGGCTTGGGTCAAACGATGCACTCGGGGTCATCTGCAGGCGTATTGCAGCTGTGTGCCTCGACCCATTTACCGCTAAATAGAACCTTTATGTTAAAGAGCACCACAGATAACAATGAAGCATGCACAAATACACCCTGAGTTTGGGGTAGTTTCTGAATTTCTACTGAACGCTCAAAATGTCTTAATTGACGTTTAAAAGCCCTGAATAGTGACTCGAGCCTCCATGCTGTAACTTAGTCGGAATTTTGGCAAAGATATTGAGAAGTAGATGCTCTGGTATGATTTTCAGCAAGCTTTTGAAGAAAATCCCAGCAATTAGGCTTGCGAGTAAGTCTAGTCTCAAAGCCCGTCATTCGAAGCTAGATACGACGTTGCTTCACGCTACATGGCACACAATTGTTTTAGAATCGAATGTATCATCGATATTTAACAACGCACTTGGATTTTGCCCATTCTCCCAGCTGAAATGCCATCTCATTTGGAAACTATGTTTTTGTTCTGTTTGGAGCAACAGACATGATCAAATCGCTTTATCCCACACTGCAAACAGTTTCTTCATCCGATCATTGTAAACCAGTGCGTCGCTTAGAACAACTACTCCAAGTATTATCTCGCCACTCTTATATTGCACAACAGATAACATCATGACTGCATGAACACTTCCCTCTATTGGAGCTAAAAATTAAGTCACGAAGCTGCTATGGGAGCGACAGCACCTTACATAGGAGGCCACCGGCGGAACCCGGTGCTCTGCTTCATGCAAAATAAATCTGCCCAAGGACGCAGCTCCACCGCTGCCGATACTCGTCCCATAAGGCAGTACAACAGGAGTAGCTGGTGCATGGCACAGACGTCCGTTAGTTGCTGGACGCCGGACTGCTAGTGGCTTCCTTATGCACCGGAGACCTTGCTACCAGCGGGCCAGGAACGTATTGTGCATCTCAGTGTCCTCACCTTCGTCATCAAGACAACGATTACATGATTTGCTGGATCGGTAATGCATAATTACTGGCCCTTTGGATGAAGAGCTGCTAAATTTTGAGAGCGTGCAGACCGTGCCACGCCTCTTCACTTAAGTGAGCATGCATGCACAGGAGTCAGGCTCCAAGGCTCGGGTTCAGAACCGTCTATTCCATATTTACTGACGTAATTTTGACCAGACCCAGGCTGACCAAACCGAAACTTTTAAGCACAAGCTGTCCTGCATTTGTTAACGATAACGATGGCTTGAAGATGATTTCGGATATCACTAATGCTATTCGTTCCTAAGATACTGCGATGAGATAAACAGGGCGTCTCTCCCCAAAATTTATGGCTAAGGCCAACTGAGCAGAGCACAGGGACTGGACTCGCGGCCAGTGCAGCCAGGCCGGGCGACCCCCTCCCACGTCGATCTCGCTCCGGCCCACGCCATCTCAAACCTGTCCGCCTGGGCAGCGGCCCGTGGGGTCAACCTTGCCGGGGCGAGACGGCAGCAGCGGCCGCCACGCACCACGCATCAGCGCCGGCCGCGGAGCAAACACGGTGACAGCTGAGTTGGACTGCGCGGCGCGGCGGGCCCAGCCGACGCGTCACCGCCGCGCCGGTCTGTCGGCGGCCGGTAAGCACGCTCGAGCGCCGCTGATTGTCGACGAGATTAGCCATGCTCGGCCGGTGCGTAATTACTCCGGGCGATGGAGG